TATATATGTTGTTTCCTGTACCACCTACTGGGTAATAACACAAGAAGGCTCCATGCTTCTAAAACTAAACTGGATTTTTATTAAGAGAACTATTTAAAGAGGTGCTACAACTGCAGCTACCATTCAGGCCATGTGCTGACTTCCTAGTGCTTCCTCCAAACTCTTCCCTCCTGCAACCTGTGCTCACTCCCCTTCCCCCAAGATCCATGCAGGTTGATGTATATTCTCTCTGTGTATCCAGGGATTTATATAGTCCTCACCACCAGAATATCTGAATTACATAGAAGCCTCTACTGGGAACCAATTGTACTGCTTTATGTTTAAGCTTCACTTTTCTCTATAGCATTAGATGCCATATATAGCATCCTGCATTAGTGGATTTTTGATGGCAGGGTCTGTGCGGATTTGATTCCCTGCCATATTGCACCTTTTATTTTGCAGTCATTTACTCCAGTTCAAAATGGGTATAAAATGCTACCTGCAGTGTGAATGGGTGGGGAATTCTGATTTGGTTGGATTGTACACCCACTTTGGAGAGATACAAGTGACTGCAAGATGTGCAAGACTGTGGGGAATTGGATTACCTGCCTTACGACTACATTAAAATAATTGTATTCATTGTTGTATGCTAAGTTCAGCTAGGGTTATGATTATATTCAGTTATATTACCTACATGAATAATGAAAAACATTGCTTTCCTCCTACTGTATTTAGTAGGATTCGTGGTATACAGCTACATGCAAACGCCTTCCTCTCCTATGTTAAGGCAACATTAAGAATTATTTTCAAATCACAAAAAGCAAGGCAATTCAGAAACTGTAAAATGCTCCTAACAATCAGCAGTTTCTCTTGGGAGGTTATGGGACTATTCGATTTACATAATATAAAATATCAGATTTACTCCAGTTTCTCTCAGACTCTATCCAGGGGACAATGCAAGAATTCTAATTGGTCTTGGAAGTTTTAATTGATTGCAAGTTGGGACAATGCATCATACACAGAAGTGTATATTGTAAGGCTGAAAGCTAACATGAAATGTCAATGTGAGAACAGGAAAATAGATTTCAATGAAATGTTCTTCACTTGAGAAATGCAAGGGGCCAGGGGGAATAACAAAATCATGATGACTAGGGAAGCTAAAAAGTTGAGCCTTCAGTGTGAAACCTAATTTCCAGTTATAGAAAAAAGAGAAACTCTAGTGCTAACAAGGCCAAAGGAAGGATTCACTCTTATAGTTATACTGGCACTCTCTTCTAGTGGAGCTGCAGCTTAAACCTGAACAAGAGTTTGCAAGTATAGTTAATATCAGTTCCATGAATGAAATAAGCTATGTTGGCAAAAGGACTTTTTCCTGGTATAACTGCATCTACACTTGGGCTTTTTCCTACATAGCTCTGTTACCTAGGAGTGTGCTATTTTCACAGTCTGAACCGATGCCAGGTTAGTTATGCAGAAAGCTCCATCAAAACTTGTAAATTATGATAGGGAGGAAGGATGGACCAGTGGTTAGGATACTAGACAGAAAACTGGGTTCAATTTCTTGCTCCACCACTGACTTCTTGTGTGACCTTGACAGTCACTTAATCTTTATGTGCCTCAGTTTCCCATCTGTAAAATAGGGATAGAGAAATGCTATTATCTTTTATATATATATATATATATATATATATAAATAAAATACTGGGCTAGTTCCTCAGCTGGTATAAATCAATCAGCAACACTCCAATGACTTCACAGGAGCTATGTTGACTGACACCTGCTGAGGATGCAGCCCTGACCTCTGGAAGGTAGATTATTGCTATCAAGATGTCCTGCAGTGGCTTAAGAGTATGAGTACAAACCTCAAGGCAGACTGTTAAGAAGCAGGGCACAAACCCCAAATTGGCTGTGAGGTCTGTATTCAGAGCTCACTTACTAAGTATCAAGTGTAAACTCCTCAGGCACTATAACAGTCTAATCATGGAATCACAGACAGTCCCCCTAGGTACTCTGATCTATCTTGTCACCTAGACAAGCTTACCTTTGTGATAGATGGTCCCTTACACCAAAAATTACAAAGATATTCAGGTTACTACCAGTCCCAAAGCACCACTCACTTACCCCAGGTCAATTGCACCTTAGATCTCATACCTGTCTAAAGAATTATTAATTAGGAAAGGGGGGGGGGAAGAGTTATTTACAAGGTTAAAGCAGGTAAACATATATACACACACACAAATGGATTAGTCTTAAGTTTCAAAAGGTAATAGAATTTTCTATAATAAGCAAGCTCTATATGTCCTTTAGGGATAACCTGGGATAAACACTGGGGATCTCTTGCTTATTCCTAGAAAACCTTGCCCTCGAGAATCCAAGCAGCACAGAGATATAGTTTCTCCTTGTCAGGGATTTTTATTCCCCGTCCCCCTTCTGCCAGCTGCCAGATCAGATGATGGAGGAATTGCAGTCTCCTCTCCATGGGGTGGAGAGAGCAATCATCAAAGTCTTTTGTCCTCTTTGATGTTTCACAATAGTTCATCTGGTCTTGATGGGCCTTCTCTGTGGGACAAGACACACCATCTTTTCTTGTAGGCCAGCATTTCACACAAATTAATGTCCCTCTCCTGTCTGGTGATTTCCACAGCTACAGAGGCATGCAGTGTAACCACTTAAATATTACCTTACAATATGGGATATAGAGGTTACAAGTGAGATTAGTGCATACAGCAATTTACAAGCATTCAATTAAGTCTAAAAGTTTTATAACCCTAATACTTGTTTTAACAATACTGACACACAGGTGAGCCAGATTAATTCCAGCTATGTATTGCTCAGTATTCCGTTGAGACATGGGAACCTTGGCATGAGCGGCACCTGATTTGCCAGCATCACAATCACTGAAAGGCCTCCTGAAGGAAATGTATTTTAAGAAGGTTGTTGGGTAAATCAGGAGAGTGGGAAATTCAAAGAGTAGGAAGCAAAATAGAGGGGATAAAGGTGGGAAAAGGATAATGGGATAGATTCTGTGCTGGCCTGAGACTTGGCCTGGCAATGAGACAGAAAGGAGACTGCTGCTGGAGTCTAAGGAGTAGAGTAAGACATCTCACTTGTGCCTCCCACTGCCATTGCCTCTATATTCAGGCCCAAGAGAGGAGGATTTCCTGGGGGGGGAGGGAGGGGGGGGAGAGGGGGAAGCTGTGGCCACACCTTCTTATACCCTTTCCTACATCTATCCCTGCCCTGAAAGGGCCTCTGTGCCAGGGCTTCCACAGAGGTGGCACAGACCTGGAAAAGTGGGCTATGTGCTAGCATGGGGAATGCTTTAAGATGGGCGGGGGGGCTATGTGGCCAGGTGCAAAGTGGCCACAGGGATGTATGTTGGTTATTTGTTCACTATTATGTAGGAGGGTGGGCCATGGCATCACGGCTCTTTGTCATGGCATCGATGCATATTTATTTATTCAGGGATTCTGGAATTAGAGTGATCAGACAGCAAATGTGAAAAATCGGGACGGGGTGGAGGGTAATAGGAGCCTATATAAGAAACAGACCAAAAAATCGGGACTGTCCCTATAAAATCGGGACATCTGGTCACCCTATCTGGAATGAAGTGGAAAGCCACATGTGCTCGTCTGCTCACAACTCTTACACAGCAGGGCTGTTGTCTGTGCTTTGGCAACAAATTGAAAGGCTGCTGCCTACTTTGGCATTCACTGTGGTCTCTTCAGTATACTTCAGTGTTAAGAAAAGGCATAGTACATTCTTGTCCTAGTCAACAGGTCAAAACAAACAGTGAAACTGTGTGAGGAAGAAACCTTGAAAGCCATTCAGGCCTCTTGTATGACACAGAGCAATCATTGGCACCCAGGGCTGACATTTCACTGTTTCAGGGGAGTTCCCATTGCAGTTTTACACCATTAGCAGGTCTAATTATGTCAGATGCTTTCATTGTCATAGTGAAAGCTTCCTCTCAGGAAATTAAAACCTATGTTGGTATTGAAGAGAACATAAGAAATACTGAGAAAATAAGTGGGTTGGGAGGGAGGGGGGGAGGATGGTTGCTATGTTTAAAAAAATACAGATTTTTTTTTGTTATGGTAACTGTGTAAGAATGACATGGCCAATATACACTGCAAAGACGACCCTGGCAAGTTGCCAGGCCCACAGATATGAAATAAAAGATACAGCTAGTATAAATCAGCTGTCATTCAATGGAGCTATGTTGATTTTCACCAGCTGAGGATCAAGCCCATCATTTCTAGTACTAGAAAAGCAAAGAGGTAGAGAACTCTTGATAACATTGCCCTATTGCCATACACTGGACCAGATGAGGAGCTGCTCTTGCAGCATGGGCTTGCATGTGTGGGCTGTGTGAACAATAAGCACAAGGAACAGAGCACAAGAGGAATCTTTATTCCCATCAGGGAGAAATCAGTCTGTAAAGGAGTAGGGAGGAGGCAGTGCCATGACCCTGCTCCTTCTCTCCACTCCTTTTGACGTACTCTAGGGAGCCTAATGTGCACCAAGCAACCGTGGGACAGATTGAGCCTGGTGAAGTGTCTCCTGTGCTCTCCCACTCTCCTGAGTCATTCAGCTCCAAACCATCCATCTCTCTTCTGAGGGCCACATTCCCTGACCAAACTACACCTTCCATGAGCCACCACAGTGCATCCTGGGTGATGCAGTCCAGCTGGCGAACCCACTTCATAGAGGAGACTAGGGATATAAATTGGGAGCAATGCCCCCAAAACCAAAAGAGTTACACTGCGTAAAAGCGGTGTAAAGGCAGAATCAGGCCCTTTGAATCCCGAAGTAGTAAACCAAAAGCCCAACAAAGGCATTACCAATAGACTATTATGGTATGGCTTTCCATCTCAGAGTAAAACTCCAATGGGCTGTAAACTGTCACTCCAGCAGACAGCAACTCTGGGGCTCATAGGAGCCATGTGTGCAGTTTTGCTGCTGTTTGCTGCTAGTGCTCACTGAAATTCTTGATAACTGCCAAGAGCGCTGACTCAACATTCAGGGCTCCTGTAGCCTTCCTGCTAGAAACTAGACATGGCAAGGCTGGTCACACATTCAGCAAGAGATAATGGATTCCAATAACTTGTGAGTGGTGAGGAGTGGTGTGTAGGAGAAGGAACAATCTTAAAGGATATTAAATTCATGCAAACAGCGACAATGGAACAAATGCCAAAGAAACTGAGATTGAAACAGCTACTGACATACATAAAGAACAACGGCTGCTGCAGCTTTTTGTGAATACACCGAATGCCGTGCGCTGTTGACAGCTGAAGATGAGCAGCTTAGGCTGAAGGAGAAATCCTCTGGACTTACAGTAAGTCCTGTGACACTGTATCATTTGACTCAATTAGCTCAAATGACTGCGATGTAATTGGGCAAAAATATAACATGAGTTGTGACTCACGCTGTGCCTCAAACTGCCCATGTCAGCATGGTAAATTAATTCATATTCTGTTAAATGAAAGCTTAGTGTCAACAGCAATTCTTGGCATATCACAGGGATATTTATTGCGGGAGATGGGGGAAAGGGGATTTGCAGAAACTGTTTATGTCCAATGATTTCAAAAACAAAAGTGAATGAGAGTTAAAAACAAGGGATCAAAGCTAGGGAATATGTCAGGTCAACAAATATAACTGAGACGTAAGTTATTTATACCATCTGGTAGCTATGTATGAAAGCTGATGATTAACTTACTAGTTATGTGTGTATGATGCAAGAGGTATGGTGAGTGGTTCACCTGCAAATTTAGTCCTCCAGCCCTGCTCCTTGTGCCCAGACAAAATCCACAGCATAAAAGGCTTATCTCATAAATTAGTCAACACAGTCATCCCAGATTTTATTTATTGTAAGCCATGGGCCCCAGGGTGACAATCTGAAGCACGCAGTGTGAAGCCGTAGTGCAATTTGCATTAGTTCTCACTAGAGATGGGCCTGGACTTATGAAGCTTGAATCCAGAGCCATACCTGAATCCTAATCTTCCATAAGTAGCAGAGGGTTGTTGGGTGCAGTGTTCTGGTTGGGCTGATAATAGAGCAAGGCATGAGCCTGGCTCTGCTGGACATTGCTTACCCTCAGATGGGTTCCAGAGATGGTGTTCAGGGGCAAACTGGCCATGTGTGAAGGGACCCACTGGGGCAAACACGGGGTGAGAGGAAGTGTTGGGGAAAATTGGGGGTAAGACAGAGCACTGGAGCAAACTAGAGAAGCAGTGGGGGAAATCTATGCAAGCAGTGGGACAATGTAAGGGTCAGAGGGGTAAACTTGGTGGCTGAGAAGGAGAACTCGGGAAAACTGAGGGGAAGCACTGAGGCAAATTTGGAGTTGGGGAATCACCGGGTTAAGGGATCACTGGAGATCAACGTGGGATATGGTTCTGTAGCTAACCCTGTAAAAAGCCCTGTGTAAAAGTGTTAAGGAAGTTGTAATTTAGATGCAAAATGTGTTAACCACTTTTAAAGCATGTTGCCTTCCTTAGCATGGTATCATAGTTTCAAACAAGCCAAAATGCATGACATGGTTATGAATCATGGCTCTTGTGGCAAATTTGTGGTAAGATGTGGTGCAAAAAATACTGTATTAAAGATAGAGTTTCTTAGAAGGTGAAAATGTTCCTTTAATTTACACTAGGGCTGCAAAAAGAGTTTGGAGACTGAAAAAACCCCAAACCCATTATCTGAAGGAGTTTGAACTCCATCCAATGTGCACTCTTTAGTTGCACAACTGTTCCATTGCATTAAACAAGGCGGCCTAGAGCACAGCACTGTTACCATTCAAAATCTGTTGAAGGCCAAAAGAAAAATGGAACACATCATAAAGAACCACAGCTTCATTTATGAGTGAACATTTTTTCATCTGGAGATAGAGGGTCATATCCTCAGCTGGCCTAAATTGGTGTAGCTCCACCCAAGTCAACTGAGTTACACCAGTTTACTCAAGTTGATTACCTGGCCCAGAATATTTCTCCAATATACGAGTGCCCACACCAAAGATCAGATATGCCAAGAATATCTGATTTTTGACATTAAGAGTTGAGGTGACATTTCTTACCCAGCAGAACCACACAATCTTAACCCGACTCCTGCTTCATCTCCACAGTAAGGAGTCTCTTAGGATGATCGCATCATCTTCCTCCTCAAGCTTGTTTGTCTGTTGTAATCTTTGCCAACCATTCTTTTGTGTCAGGCTCCTGACCTATCTATTCTGAGACTGATCTGATTATGGGGGTACATTTTTAGAGAGGATTCAAAATGCAGTTTTAAACCTCTCCAATCTAAATTAAAATGGCAAATGGTAAATTCCATCCTGTGGAACCATAATATCCCCAATGTAGGTCAGCAGCAGAGTTTGCACATGGGACCTTCACATCCACACCACAGCCCTCTACCACTTCAGCTAACACATATTGCAAGCAGGATTCTTGGATTCTCTTTCTGGTTCTGCAAGGGAAGTGTGGTCTGGTATTTTTCCCTATCTCTTGCAAAAAAGCATTATAAGAAAGTTGACATTTTAAAACAGCTCATGGGAGGTGGTGATTTATATCTCAGGAATTCATTAAGCCAATGACCTCTGATTTGCATCACTCTTTCTACCCCAGGCCACAAACTAGCATACCAATTTCCAGGCCACTCTGACCTATGTGTGTGAATTTCAGAGAGGTTAGAAAATTCAGCTTCAGACAGTGACAGTGGTTCAACCTTAACTATGGTGCAGTCACTTGCCTCCCGTAATGTCCAGTCTTGATTTTCATGGTCCTTCAAAACAGAGTGTTCAAAACTCCCACTGACATCACGGGGAGAAGAATTGAGGCCTAAGGGTAAAATTCAGTTTTGTGCAGAGGGCCAGCACAACACCTATTTACCATTTAAGCCCCACAGGATGGTGCATAAATTTGTGCTCACCCTTTGCACATGGGTGATTTTCTCCCTAAAAGAGGAAATCAAATCAGAATGTTAACCCAAACCTCCCTCTCCTTATTGTAGATTATTGAAGCACAACTCATTGGATATAGTCTTGCTTAGTGCTTCTTACTACTTTTTTCAGCTAGCTTTTCAACTTCTGATTTCTCAAAAACAAGAAATAAGCATGATGTCTAGATGCTATGGGGAACATGAACTCATGCCTCCAAGGAACTGTTTTCACTGGGATTGAAACCATGCTGCCTACCTAGAAGGATTCTCATGCAGTTTCCTTGATAGTTGGAGAATTTGTTTCTATTCTATTCAGGTTCATATTATGCACCCATCACCATAGCCGTTGAGCACCTTCCAACAATTAATTAAGCAATGTACTTAAAATATGTCATGTGTTTTCTGCCTGCTGTTATAACTGGGCTGTGAAACTATGCTATAGACTATCTAGAAAAGTAGGACCTCAGCTGGTATAAATTGGTGTAGCTCCATTGACATCAATTGATTTACACCACCGGTAGAACTGGCCCGTAGTCTACAGCATAGTGCGGTTTTCACTGTTTTCAGAATAAAACCCCCAAAACAATAACAACAATAAAAACTCCCTTGTCAATACTGGCCAGGAAAGTATGCTGGAATCTTGAGTACAACCACATTTATACATAGCTGTGGCTAGCATGTTTTGAATTCTAGTGTGGACAGGACCTAAATTAGGAAAGAGGCAAGAGAAACTGAATACAAATGTGTGTATGGGAATATTAATGACTGGTACCAGTGACACTTTCACTTTGTTATTTAAAGCAACATCGGTGCTTTGGAAGAATACAGACACCGGAGAAGTGAAACTGGTTGCTGCTTTTAGCTCAGGCACAGTGTTTCTCTAATTTTAACTGTTTATGAATGTAGTGCTGAGAGCAAAGGAGAATGGAATTTAGTTATCCACTGAATAGGGGCAGCATAGGTTGTGACCGTGTGACCTTCCACATGTTTTTTTGCTAATGCACAGGAATAAAAATGTGGCCACTTTTGGAGGGGCACTTTCTGTGCCTCCTGTGGCTGGAGGAGCTGGCTCTCTGCCCCTCCCTTTCCCCGCCTCCCCCGCCCTGCGGCCAGAAGAGCTGTCTCTCCCTGCCACGGCCCCAGGGTGGTGGAGCTTGCTCTCCCCTGGCAGCCAGAGGAGCTGGATCTCCTCCCCCCACCACGGCTCCAAGGCCGGAGGAGCTGTCATCTCCTGTCCTAGCTGGGCTGGAGGAGCATGCTCTCCCCACCCCGGCTGAGTTCTGTGCCCCCACTGATTGCGAGGGCATGCCCCTCCTTCACCCCCTCCCCTTGTGCACACCCCTTCCTGGAGATACTCACTTAGGTTCCATACCATGGTCTTTACAGATGATGGGACAATTCATTTTCTATGCCCATTCAGTCCTAGACTTGAATGCCGAGGCTGCCAACAAAGCTACCAGTGGACTGCAGTAATGGTTTTGTGATAGGGACCCCTGTCCACTAGGAACTGGACTGAGGCTCCCAGCTTGTTTCATAGAGGCCACCTCCATCCACTGGATGGTGATGCCTTTTGATGGCTGGCTACTTATTTGGTTGATTATTGTAGAATCTAACTGTGAAAGCCTTCACATCCCACAGCCTATTCCCTGAGCCATTCGGTCCACTGCTGCAACCCCAGCAGTTTCTGGCTATAGACCCGGCACAAACCAACCATGGGAGGATTATCTCAGTATGGTGGCACAAGACCAGTTTAGAGATTCTGACATGACCCCATCATCTTCCTATCATTTCAGGGACAAATTCAGAGACCATGTCCATGATATTCCAATGTGGCAATGATCCCCAACTGCCATTTACCACCAGCATCCAATGTAAGTTGGAGCAGCCCTGAAGCTGCTCTATCTTATGCTGAAGGACCAGTCTCACTCACAGCCACACCAGAGTCAGAGGCACAAACAGGTAAACTCTATGCCTTTATTGTAGCCCTTGACTTGCCCAGTGTGTTCCTCCATTTATAGCTGAGGATCTGGGCCCATTTATTTCTAAAATACTCTAGTATTTTTTAATAGTATAAAAATATTTACAACTTAGCAAAATGTGCTTATTATCTGATTGTTTGGTCTATGTCAGTGTGTTAACAAACATACAGGCCATCCTTGTTACTGCGTCCCAAAGCAGCTCCAGGTTCTTTGTCAAAGCTTTTAATAGCCCTTTGGATTGGAAAAGTGCCTAGACAGTCATAGGATTGCATGACTCACTGGGCAACAGAAAACTAGCTAAACACAAAGTTAAAAGAATCAAAACAGCTACACTAGGTCATTTTGAAATATCGGTATCTGAGTTACACAGTTCATAGAGAGATTATTTTAGTAGCTTGCAAAGAACATCAAATTGCTGGAATTTCTGAAATGTTTGAGAAGTAAGTTCAAGGTCGTATTTGAACACAAACATGTTGCACATGGTAATTATCATGAGTGTTATATTTACTGGTACAAAGTATTCAGAGGCATGCAGCAAGTAAACTAATGATCTGTCGCTGAGCAAAGTTTAACTTTGAGTACTGTGTTATGGATTTCAAAATGTTTTAATGTCAGGCTTTCTGAAATCACAACAAGAAAAATATTTTGATTGTGAAAGAAATGTGAAAGATTTACTTGAGACAGAAAGAGAAGTGAGGCAGTAGGCAGAAAGGCCTGCAAAAATATTTTCCCAATGCTACATATAGTGTTTAAATCCAATCATATAGCCAGCATATGTAGTGTGACCAGATGTCCCCTTTTTAAAGGGACAGTCCCGTTTTTGGGGACTTTTTCGTATATAGGTGCCTATTACCCCCCACCCGCTGTCCCATTTTTTCACAGTTGCTATCTGATCACCCTAAGCATATGAGAACAATGGGAACCAAGCCAAATCTTATGTGTACTCATATCTAAATTTTCACAAACAATTTAAACTGTCTCCTGATCATCTTTGAGCTGGTACATTTTGATACATTGTCAGAATGAAACTGCATTACCAAAAGTGAGATCAGCATTTACAGAAGGCCTTTGTGAGTAATACACAGGTCCCGTCTCTTGACACAGAATCCCTGTACTGGAGGCAGTTTCAGTATTAATCAGTCTGCTGTTGCTAAGGGCTACAATTTGCTAACAGAAAACTTGGATTGGTCACTGATTCATTGTAATGGGGCACTGTTAATTTGCAGTGTTTTAATTTACCCAACTGTGTTTCCTTCAAGATTATATTAACAAAAGAGTCATTAACAAAGAATTTCTGTTGCCATTGATATGTGTGTGTGTGTGTGTGTGTGTGTGTTCTCTCTGGAAGGTTTCAAAGCACTGGTATATTTAGTTTATTAAAGGCATGATTTTGCTTCCATTGAAGTCAATGGCAAAACTCCCACTGACATCACGGGGAGAAGAATTGAGGCCTAAGGGTAAAATTCAGTTTTGTGCAGAGGGCCAGCACAACACCTATTTACCATTTAAGCCCCACAGGATGGAGCATAAATTTGTGCTCGCCCTTTGCACATGGGTGATTTTCTCCCTAAAAGAGGAAATCAAGCTAATGGAGTAGCCTAAATAAGGTGAAACCAGCAATTGTTGGTAGTGAGTCCAAGTGGCGAGATTCAGATCTGAAGTCTTAAACCACCCCCATAAGAATCAGGGGGCGGACAGTTCTGCCAACTATAGAGATGTGGGGGGCAGCTGTGAAATTCAGACCCAAATCTGGATTCAGAGGGGCGGAAGGATGTGCTCAGCACTAATTCTTAGCAAATAATCATTAAGGCCCCAGTTCACCAAAGCATTACAGCATGTGCTTAAGTGCTTTGCTGAATGAAAATCGCCTGCTGGATCAGGAACTATACAAATAAAGCAAAACCCAGCAGCACTTCAGACACGGACAGAGTCAAATTTACTCCCAAGGGAGCTGCAATCGGCACTTTTTGCCCATAGGCAGCCCTACTCATGAGTGGATTCACCCCCAGGGAAAGGCCAAGGCCCATACCACCACCATCAGATCCTCACGGTTTCTACATAATAACACTTAGTTCTTAGTATTTTTCATCCCTATCTCTCAAAGTAATTTACAAAGGAGTTCATCATTATTACCACCATTTTTACAGAAGGGGTAACTGAGGCAGAGAGAGGTGGAGTGACCTGCACAAGGTCACTCAGCAGGCAAATGGCATAGCTGGGAGTACAACTTACATCTACCGAGTCCTAGTCCAGTACTCAGTCCTCTAGACTTCTGGGCTAACCCCGCCCACTTTTGTGACTGTATTTGCCAACTCTGGACCCCACAGGGGTTACATTAAGCTTGCTCAAGCAACCATACCACTGCCAGGGAACTGCAATCACAAGCCAGTGGAAGCCAGGGATGAGTCGTCTGACTATACAGATAGTTTTATTTCCGCTCCCCTCCCCCACAAAAATCTGCTCATGATACTATGTGTTTTTATCTAATGCAAAAGTAGCAACGTTCATTTAAAAACACTTACATTTGCAAAACCTCTCAGAGGGCAAGATCCTGATCTCGGTGGCCTGGGTATAATTGTACAGTAACATATTCATAGTCAACAGCATTTCTCTGGATTTACGCAGTTGTCACCGAGTGTAGAATTAGGCTCGGTATTACCATTTCTTGTGATTTTACCATAAGTCTAGTAATATTGGGGGGGTTTTCCTTAATGCCTGCACTACTGGAATCATGTGAAAATGTGAGAATCTCAGTTTTCATTTTTTATGAATAAGTTTTTAACTCGTATGGTCGTGGAATAAAACTGGCAAATGTGAACTCTAAAGGCTCAAAAAAACAGAAGGCAATAAAAAGAAATCCATATGTACTTTTTTATTTAATCTCATGATTTTTTAAGTCCATCTCACAATTTGTGGGGCCTGACTCATAATTTTTGAACATTTGGGGTTGCCAACACCGCAGGCCCAGAAGATAGCTTTTCCTATTTATTGGATCTCATATTTATATGAGTGACTCATGCAGTATCATGGGGACAGCAAGAAGGAATGTGCTGTGTTCACTGCATCATCCATTTAATATCCTGGGCACAACATTTTTAGAGTGACTGGGAGATTCTCTATCAGGCCTTTTATTAATATGCTTCTAGATTTGTCTACCTAACTTGCAACTGCACTAACAATCCTTCTGTATGGCCCTGGGTGAAAACTGAGAGGTAACATCAGCTGAAGGCAATGGACTGACCAGAGTGTGTCCCCATTTTGAATGGATAATTACAACTCTGTGTAATACAGAACCATAAAATATGGGCTAGGTCAGATATGCTTTTAAAACATGAGCATAACTATTAATAATTAAATATAATAGCCAATATCATTCCCCTAGAAAGCAATTTCTCTCCCCACTAGCACACAGAGCAAAGACTACATCAATATTTGGAGATGGATAGATAGCTTAATTCATTTTGCAAATCCGGGGAAGTGATACTTCAGCACTTTTGCATAAACTGTCTCCAACACTGAAAATTAGCTAAGGGGGGTGAAAAGGGTGAAAATGTCAGGCATAGAAGGATTTAATTTTTCTCTTGTTTAAAATATCATCAGTTATCTGCAATCAATGTAATGAGACAGCTTTCCATACAATAATGATTTACAATATGTTTATAGGCAGAGATAGGAGTAATCATAAGGTTAGATTTGTCTCCATGTGAATTCTTTGAGCATCAGAAATGCTTAGTTCTGCAGTTCTCTCAGCCTAAGAATGCACGAGAGACAGACTTAGATCTACATAAGATTTCTGTACTTCCCCACACAAATATGTGTAGTATACGCAGGCAATCTGGCCTTAACTTCATATAAACATATCCAATAACCAGATGCTTAAGACATGCAAAAATCAACAATCCCAATGAACGAAAAGCAATACAATCAGTGCTTAAATATCTAAACGTGTATTAAAGGAAATACACTCCTGGACTTAGTGTTTTAATTTTCTTAACTTTCCATTGTCTGGGATTTCCTGTTTTAAAGCTGGCGGGGAGTAGGGGTCGGGGGTGGGAAGAGTGAGGAATGCTTCCACTGCCGATGTCCTTTCCCAGTGGGTAATCTCTGCCCCAGTGTTTTAAGTGGAGCTGAGATTAATGTGGTTCTGCTATGTTTATTTCCTTGCATGTGCACCAGAATTGCTGATATCAGCAGATCTCTGCAAATGGTGCTTGACACAGGCTCTGCTGCTGTCACACAAGGAACACTAGCCTGTTTTTATGGGCATCACAAAAATCATATTTTTAATATTTCTTAGCAACAGAATCTTTCTTAGGTACGTCTATAGTCCTTGTTAACAAAGTACCTCACAATCTATAATGTATTTATCCTCACAAAACCCCTCTGAGGTAGAGAAGTGACATTATTCCCATTCTACAGATGGCGATCTGAAGTATTGAGAGACTATGGGCTTTGTGCAGCATTGTGCACTGTGGGGTTGTGAATTCTAATGCACAGCAACTAAACAAAATGTCCCTAGTGCACACCAGCAGGGTCTACTGAGGCCAGTTAGCAAGCAACAGAATTCATATTCTCATAGCTCACATTGTTGCACTCTATAGACAAGCTCTAAGTGACTTGTCCACACTCACATAGGAAATCTGTGGTGGAGCAGGACATTCTACTCAGGTCTCTGTAGTCCAAGGCTGGCACCTGAGCCATTGGACTATTCTTCCTCTCAGTGGGTGAGTGATGGTTTTAACAAATCAAATTATTCTGGAATCCTAATGCCTTTCCCCATCAGATTCCAGCTATAGTTTGTGTGAGGAGCTATGTAACATTTATATATGTATGCCATCCCTGAAATACTGAACTTTAACCCACCAAAAAATAACACTGCTCTACAGCCAAAATGCTTCTGAAATAAATGTAGTCAAACTTTACTAATTCTGGGTCACTGAGAACAAAAATGATGCTTAAAATTGTTGATTGGCTCTAGTT